GTGTGTGTGTGTGTGTGTGTGTGTGTGTGTGTGAAGCACTCAAGTTCTGCTGTTCCTGGCTTCTGTTGTATTGGAAAGCTGAGCCTGGGATGTAACTAGAGTATGTGGCCAAGAACAAGTGAGGTTTGCCTTGTTTTTTTGAGAGAGAGCATGAAAATTAAAGAGGAGAGAGAGACAGAGACAAAGACATAGAAATAGAGAGTAAGACACAGATACACAGAGGGACATAGAGAGGCTTGCATCATAATTTCTGGGAAATAAAGTTATTTATTCCCTTTATTTTTTATTTGCTTAACAAAATAATCACAAGTGCTTTCTGCAGAAATGTATTTTCTATCTTTTTCTTACTGTAAAGCACTACTGTGTTTTCTCATGTATAGTGCTGACTGAGACAGAACCATCTGAGTGGTGTCAATACAGTGGGATAGTATATGGCATAGTCTAAGAGTGCTGTCTTTGGATGTGAGTCAGTGTGAGATGTACACATTTCCAATTGTGTCTTCACTAAATTTTAATTTTGAAGGTACTTCTGTAAAATAATGTTGCAGGACTGTCTTTAGAAACCAATAAGAGAGGCAGAGGGAGGGGCTTCCACTTGTCTCTACTGGATATGTCTCCCCATGGGAGGCCTTGCGTTCTTGTGGGGAGGAGTGCAGGTGGGTTGGGAGAGGGAGGCTGGGGGGCCAGGAGGAGGGAAAAGGGGGATCTTTGGTGTGTAAAATGAATGGAAAAATTTTCTTAATTATAAAAGAAGCCAATAGGGAGACTAGAGAGGTGGCTCAGTGCTTAAGAGCACTGGCTACTCATGCAGAGGACCCAGGTTTGTTCCAGCACCCACTCAGGGGCTCACAGCCACCTGTGAGTCCTGTTCAGGGGTTCTGATACCCTCCTCTGACCTCCACAGGGACCATACAAACACGTGGAGAACAGACATACATGCAGGCAAAACATTCATACAATAAAAATAATAAAGATGCAAAATTAAAGGGAGAAGAGAGAATACAAGTGGTATTTTTTAAAATATAAAAACCAATTAAGGATTTTGTCTTAAGGATTCTGTGCCTGTTGTGTGTTTGTTTTAAATGTTTTGAGCTGTTTTCTCTCTCTCTCTCTCTCTCTCTCTCATCTCTTGCATACTGTACTTTTCAGCAAAATCGCATTTTTGCCCCTCCTTCTCCTCCTCATCCTCTTCTCTTTTTCTCATCAAGCACCTGTTTGACTAAACAGCTTGTACCTAGTGAACGTCTGTCAGGATAACTGATATGACATGTGAAACTTTCTCCTCTGAAGAGAGTATTTGAGTATGATAAGATTTTACTGGTCATTTTTTGTGGGTGTCTCTGCAAACACCAGGGCTGTCAGAAGTATAATCAAAATCAGGCAAGAATGAAATCCAGTTCAACATGACTCAGTATTGGTTCAGACCTCTGAAGTCTGACACTGGAGTAGGCAGTTTTATGTAGGCATGTTTAAGTACAGTACAATTTGGACAAACGTTTCCTAATGTAGCACAATTCTTGTGCACAATGAGGCATAATTATATCAAAACTGTCTTCAAAGTACATGTCATTTCTTCCAGGAAGATGGGTTCTTTTTTTTTTTTTTTTTTTTTTTTGGTTTTTCGAGACAGGGTTTCTCTGTGTAGCTTTGCGCCTTTCCTGGAACTCACTTGGTAGCCCAGGCTGGCCTCGAACTCACAGCGATCCGCCTGGCTCTGCCTCCCGAGTGCTGGGATTAAAGGCGTGCGCCACCACCGCCCGGCCGGAAGATGGGTTCTAAAGACAGGCTACATGTGCTATCTTCAGGGCCTAGGGGGAGGATCTGATGTGGTTTCAGTCATACAGATGGTGTAGAGGTCATCTTGACTGTTGGCCATCTCCAGTCACAGTTGTAGAAGCTTGGGGGAGCTCCTAGCCATACAGATAGTGCAAAGGTCACCTAGACAATTAAGTATCTCTGTTCCTGCTTGTGGATGGCGTGGTTTGGCCCTCCAGATAGTGCAAACATTAGTGGTTCTCAACCTGTAGCTGTAACCCCTCTGTGAGGGTGTCAAATGACCTTTTCTCTTGAGGTGGCCTAAGACCATCAGAAAACACAGATTTTTATATTATGATTTGTAACAGGAGCAAAGTTACAGTAATAAAATGTAAGTGAACAGCCAGCTCATGCACTAAGGACAGGTCCTGGTCCCACTGCCTGGGGGCCTCCCAAACAGTTCAAGCTAATCGACTGTCTCACTTATCCAGAGGGCCTGATCCAGTTGGGGGCTCCTCAGCTATTGGTTCAGAGGGCCTGATCCAGTTGGGGGTTCCTCAGCTATTGGTTCATAGTTTATGTTTTTCCTCTAGTTTGGCTATTTGTTCCTGTGCTTTTTCCAATCATGGTCTCAACAATTCTCGCTCATATAATCCCTCCTCTTTCTTGCCGATTGGACTCCCGGAGCTCCACCTGGGGCCTGGCTGTGGATCTCTGCATCTGCTTCCATCAGTCATTGGATGAGAGTTCTCCCACGATAGTTAGGGTGCTTGGCCAGAGTAGGTCAGTTCGGGCTTTTTCTCAACCATTGCCAGTAGTCTATTGTGGTCCTTAGTGCGCGAGGGGGCTGTTTGGAGCCTGGGGCCTATGCAGGAACACTTTGCTTAGCCTGGGTGAAGGGAGGAGGGAACTGGACCTGCCTCGACTGAATCTACCACGCTGAGCTGAATCCCCAGTGGAGTCCTTGCCCTGGAGGAGATGGGAATGGGGGGTAGATTGGGGGAAGGGGGCGCGGGAGGAGGGAGGACAGGGGAATCCGTGGCTGATATGTAAAATTAAATTAAATTATAAAATAAAAAAATTAAAAAAATAATTGAACTGAAAAAAAATAAAATATAAGTGAAAATAATTTTTTGTTTGAGTCACTGCAACATGATTTGTATTAAAGGGTCGCAACATTAGGAAGGTTGAGAACCATGAATCTAGACGATTAGCCACCTTTAGTTCCAGGCTTCTGGGTGGAAAACAGGTTATACATCTTTTCCCTTGAAAAGATAACTCTGCTTGTTTAACATTCCTGGTCTTCCTGGTGCTATCTGTGAATGTAAGGACCTTTATGCTCCCCAACATTTTCTTCAGGCAGAAAACTTGAGAATGAAATAGAATGTGAATAGGAAATATGTGCAAAGTGATGTGTCTAATTGTAGTGCTTGGAAACTGAGGCAAGAATATGTTTAGTTCTGGGCTACCCTGAGAACACAGTGGAGGGGAAAGAATATGATCAAAATATATTATATGAAAAATATTTTTTGAAAAGTGAAAAATAGAAAATGAGGACTGTGTATGTAGTGATGGTAGAATGATGCCCAGCTTGCAAGGAAAGCCTCCAATTTCCTGCATTGCTCAGGATGTCTTGAACTTACGATTCTCCTACTTGGTGGGACAGGCAAGCACCATCACGTCTAGTTTATGCAGTTCTGAGGATCAAACCCAGGGCTTTGTGTCTGCCAGGCAAGGACTCTGTGGAGCCTCATCCACAGCTATTAGCCACATTTCTTAGTGGAAGATTTTGATGATTCTCAGGGACTGGTTCTCTACAGGCAGTGATTGGAGAAAACCTTGTGAAGAATAGCTAGTGTAGGTGCTCTCTTCTGACAGTGTCCTCAGTCCTCCAGGCAAGCCCCATCAGCCCTCAGATCAAACCTGCAGACCCCATCAGCCCTCAGAGCAAGTCTGTAAGCTCAAGTAGCCCTCAGAACAACCCCGCAGACCCCATCAGCCCTCAAACAATCCTGTAAGGATGACTGTGTTCCTCTCCATAACCATTCACTGTTAGTGGAATCCAATTTGTTATTTATTTATTATATTATTTTGTGTGTTTTGCCTGCATATATGTCTGTGCACCACAAGTGCCCTTGGTTCTGGCTGAGGCTTGGGTATAGGATCCTCCGGGACTAGAATTGCAGGTAGCTGTGAGCCATCATGTGGATGCTGAAATCAAACCAGGATCCTCTGCAAGAACAGCTAGTGCACTTAACCACTGAGCTGTCTCTGCAGCCCTTGAGTCATTATTTAAAAATGGTTACCAATATCATCATGCAAACTGAAATGGTGCAAAGAGCTCAGGTAGCTTCCCCAGCCAAATAGATCCAGGTGGAACTGAAATTTGAGCTAGGGCACATTGATGACTAGATCTTCATTCTCCTGGACCTCCCCAAAACATAAAGCTTGTTGAATTGGAAGGATTGATTCATGTGAATAAAGATGATGATGATGATGATGATGATGATGATGATGATAAGTAGTAGTAGTAGTAGTAGTAGTAGTAGTAGTAGTAGTAGTAGTAGTAGTTGTTGTAGTAGTTTGAAACCAAATCTCACATATGACAGGCTGACCTTAAATTCCCTGTCCCTGTATGGCCAAGAATGACCTTGGAATCTTAATCCTCCTGCCTCTATCTCTCACCTGCTGAAATTGCAGAAGTGCAACAACATATCTGGTTAATGGGTTGCTGGAGATGGAATCCAGGGCACTATTCATGCAAATACTCTCTCAACTGAACTATATACCCTCAGCCCTAACTTTTGTTTTACAGAAGACGTGGTGGCTGGGAGGTGTTGGGCTAAGATGTTCAAGATGACAGTAGAGGTCTGCGTGAGAATGGGGCACAAATCCCAGCCCAGTCGTTAAGTTTACACTTTATTCTGGAGGTCCATTGGTGACACTGCACTTTGGTTCCCTCTTTTGGATACCTGTGCTAGCCTGATGGGCATATTCCTGAAGGCACAGCCCAGAACTTACCTACAGAAGAGGAGCCCCATGGTATCAGGAATAGTTAGTATAAGATCACCCTGGTGTGAGAATGGAGCTTTCTCTTCTAGGTGCACCCCTGCTCAATAGTGTGTGCCCCTAAGTTCATGGTCATGTAGGTGTCTTCACTGGATTTCAATAACAGAGCTTTGTTCTCTCTCTCTCTCTCTCTCTCTCTCTCTCTCTCTCTCTCTCTCTCTCTCTCTCTCTCTCAGGTATGGAAAAATTGTATCCACGAAGGCAATTCTTGACAAGAATACGAATCAATGCAAAGGTAGGTGTGACGTCATCCTACTCTGAGCTCTTGTCTGTGCCCTTCGGTCGATGGTGTCTCCACTACAGAGGTCCAGCTGCACAGTGAGCGTGGCGTGCAGTCAATGGCAAGCCGTGGATGTTGTCAGTCTTTGATGGGTTGTATTTCTGGTAACATTGCTCATTAATTTTTTTCATTAACAAACAAAATGGAAATCACAAATCAGAACAAGTATCAAATTGCTTCAACAAAAAACTGAATTAGCTTCTAACAACTTCGGGTTGGTCTGATTTGAATGATATTATCAATGATACAAATTGATTTCCTATGTAAAGATGAGGTGTGCAGGGGGAAATGGTCTCAGGCAAATCATGCTTAATTTCTCTGTTCTTCAGAGCTCTAGCAAAATTTGTTGACTAGAAATGAATTTAATGATGGGCCAATTGTATCTATGCTTTAGCTATAAATATCTCACAAGATTCAGGATATTATTCAGTCAAGCTTTTTCTCTTTTCTCTTTGCTGGAAATATTTCAGGAATTATTTGACAATGGCTGTGGCTTGTGTTTCTTCATGTCTGGAATATCACACAATGTTTAAAGGTTACATTAAATTATTTGCATAATCTATACGGGCTACATGACTTGGTTCTGACTAGGAAATTAGAATGCTTCTTGTCACATATATTATTTCTTGCCCTTAATCCAGTATTCATTGTAATACTGAAATCAAGCACGGTGGGTCAGCCAAAGAGAATATGTGCAAGTTTTAGCAAAGGACATTCATGTACTTTTAAATGTCCCCTGGCCTTCTGGGTAATGGTAGACAGATTCATTTCAGTTGCTCTTTAAAGAAAGTGTTGCTTATCTGTGACCAGCTCAGGAGCACAACAGGTACAAGACAAAGAACACCAGCCTGTAAGTTCTGTATCTGAATAGTTTGACTTGGAGTTGAAAACAAACTAGTATTAAGATGAACAAGCATGGAAGCCTGCCTACAGTCACAGCACCTGGAAGGCAGAGTCGGGGGATGCTCCACGCAAGCATGAAAAAACACCATGCCTCAGACTAGCTAGACCTGTGAGTGCTGCGTTCAACTATAGATCCTGCCTCAGTAAACACAGGGCAAAGCAACCGAGGAAGACACCCGCGACACTGACCTCTGGAGTACATGCACTCACACAGACACACACAGAGAAGTGAATCCTGACATCCTTGGTAGGTCCATTGTGATACTGGCTGCACTGTGAGAGTGGGGAGTAGATTCCGGGATCAGAAGTAGCTGCATAATATTGTGGAGGAAACGTTCTTTTCTTGAGAATGGAAATTATAAAAACAAACAAGAAAGGAATGACCAGGAAAGTCATATGCTCAGGGAGAAGATTTCCAGACTTATAATTGTCTATACCCTTGCAGTTGTTATGTAAAATCCTAGCAGGGAAGGGTTACTGTGGACACCAGGAATGGGCACAGAGTTTTGGAGACTTTAAAAATTGTATGTCGGATCTTAGTCACTAAGAGCACTTGCTGCTCTTGTAGAGGACCTGAATTCAGTTCCCAGCATCAACATGGTATCTTACAACTGTAACTCCAGTGCCAGAGTATCCTGTGCTCTCTTCTGTCCTCCATGGGCATTGCACACATACAGTGCACATACATACATACATACATATACACACATACATACATACATTCATACATATACACACATGTACATACATACATTCATACATACACATATATACATGCAGGTACAATACTCAAACACATAAAACACAAAGAAAATTTTAAAATAAAGTAAAATTTTACCCTGGATACAATGTAGGCCTCTTATTGTTATTAGTTGTTTGGGGCAACTATTCTGTGATTTCTATGTGTATTTCAGAAAAGATGTTTTAAAAAAGTGAGTGGAACTGAATTAGCAGTTAAGGAGTAGACATTATCTATTTACCTATCTATCCATCAATATGTTATCAATCTATAATTTAAGTGGAGGAAATGAAGAAGTCACCACCCTGGTTCCTAGTTACCACTGATGGGGGTTACCCTGAGAGTTTTAAAAAGTGCTTGCCAGTAGATAGAAAGATAGATTTTTAGGGAGAAAAATTATTTGAGTAAAATTGCTGATAACTGCTAACAATGGCCAAGGTAAGTGGTGGAGTGGTCTGGAGGAGACAGGAGCTGACCAAGGTACAAGGACTTGATTAGCCAAACACTGCTAGGAATGTAGAGGATTATTAGAGTTCTCCAAAAGGAAAATAAGGAAAAAGCCAGAACAAGAACCTAATTGTAGCGAGTCTTTCTCTGTCCCATCAGACAGCTCCCTAATAATGACACGGAGACTTACTATTAATTATGGAAGCTTGACCAATAGCTTAGGCTTGTTTCTAACTAGCTCTTATAACTTAAATTAACCCATTTCTTTTAATCTACGTTCTTTTCTGTGGCTCAGAAAAGTACTTTTACTTTGTAATGTCCATGCTGCTTGCTCTGTGTCCTGGCATCTCCTCCCTCCTTTTACCCAGTGTCCTGTGTACCTGAAAATCCTGCCTAGCTATTGGCCATTCTGCTTTTTATTAAACCAATCAGAATGACACATCTTCACAGTGTACAAAAAGATTATTCCACAACACCTGATTTAGAAAGTCCTGTGGAGAAATAATGGGATTAATACTAACGGTCTATCACGGTGATAGAGAAGGGGGTTTCTTGTATGATCTGATAATAAAAATATCTAAATGGGAGACACTAAATATGGGTGGGAGGAAGACTCTACTCATAGGTCCTGTTGTAGGAGAGGTGTGGGAAAAAAGCAAAAGAAATAAATAAAACCTCAGACTTGAGGGGCTAAAGAGATGGCCTCAGCGGTTAAGAGCACTTGATGCTCCTGCAGAGGACCTGAGTATCTTTTTTATAAGCACCAAATTGTTAGGCTATGCACACAGACTATAACTCCAGCTCCAGGGAATCTGATGCCCTCTTCTGCCCTCTGTGAACACTTGCATGCATATGCACACACAGAGACACATACATACATATAAATAAACATAAATAAGAGTAAATATTAAAACTTCAAACTTGAGAGGGCTATAAAAGAATTAGTATCCACAGGACAAGTTAGGCATCCACAAGGAACATGAAAAAGACAGTCATTTGCCGAGATAGTTTATATGCATTTAAGTAGCAGATGTAGCATGCATGTCATCCACTGCTGGTTGATGTAAATGTGTCCATCCATCCCTTTTAGTGCTGTCTTTAGTTAGCCAAGCCATTTAGAAAAGTCCTTGTGGAAAGAGAAGTAAAGGACATTGCTTTGATATTATTATGACACTCAAAACATCTTCTCAAATACTTTATTCAAACCTATCTTCAAATCATGTATGTGTGTGTGTGTATACACACACACACACACACACACATGCACACACACACACACACACACACACACACACACACACACATATATATATGCACAAGTCTGATCATTCTTCCCTTTATTAAGAAAAATACAGAAAATATGAAAATTCTAGCTTCTGAGGCATATAAACCTGTTATATGTCTGAGGGAAATCATGAGGGCTACGGTGACAAACGCTGGAAATGTAGAGGATTCAGTATGAGAAGAATATAAACTAATGAGTGTACTATGTATGGAGAGGTGTCAGCACTTGGAAGCTGTGGTGATGATTTCAGTGGAGTCCTCCTGTTGCTGGTGTTAGTTGCCTCTCAGCTGACCAGCTGTGTGGCTTAGGCCCAATCTCTCAACCTCACTGAATCCTGTGTAGGAAAAGGGAAGGTGACAGGAAGGCCTCATTCATGGGGTATGGCAATGATAGATTTACATACAGAACAGGCATGACAGTACTTTATACCACTTCACATAAAAGTCTAACCGTTTTCATTTATCCATGCGAGTGCTGTGGACGTATGTGTGTGCGTGTGCACAGGTGTGCATATGCTAGGTTGCTCTCCATCTTATTTTTGATACGGGATTCTCACCAGATCTCTAGCTCACTGGTTCAGCTGGCCTGGCTGGGCAGCAAGCCTCGGGGGCCCTCCTGTCTCTCCAGCACTGGGATTGCAGGCATGCTGACTTGTACACGGGTTCTGGGAACCTCAACTCAGCTCCTCTTGTTTGTACAGCAATCAGTTACCTGCTGACCGTGTCCCCTGCCCAGGAGGCTAACAGTATTTTTTGTTTGTGAACACATGTATATGCTTGCATATCTCAACATGTGAGGGCATGTTTAAAGAGGCTCAAACTTGGTGTCAGGAATCGTCCTTAATTGAGCTCCACTTTCTTGTCTAAGGTGAGGTCTCTCCATTGAACACACACAGCTGGTCTATCTAGTTTGCTTTCCCTGGGGACCCATTGTCTCCTCTTTCCTAGTGCTGGAACTGCAGGTGGGTCACTGAGAGCTCTGAGGATTTGAACTCAGCCCCTTACATTTAAATGGACAGCAAGTTCTTTACCCACCAAGTCCAAGGCTAGCATTATGAAGGAAAACAAAGGTAATTGTGTTAGTGAAGAGCACAGCTAATGTTGTTATTTTAACATTTCTTTCAATCTATTTTGTGGTATTTTCAAGAAAAAGTAAATTCAGCTCCCAGAACAATTCGGTTGATTTCATTTTTTTTTCCCATTTCATTTTATATATGTGTATCGGTGTTTGGGCAGCATGTCTGTGCACCATGTGCATGCAGTGCCCACCAATACCAGAAGAGGACATGCGGTCCTCTAGGACCGGAGTTCCAGAGGTTTGTGAATTTCCATGTGGGTGGTGAGAATCAGATCCATATTCATAACCATTGAGTCATCGATCCAGGCCAGAACCTGTTTGGATTTTGTCCATACTTTGGTTGTTTGGTGACAACTCGGAAACCAGTGGCCATAGGTTATTTTGTTTTGCCGACTGATTTCAGGTGTAATTGAGTTTGAAGACGATGTTACCGTCTGTTGCCTTGAACGGTAAGCAGAAGTGGAGTTCTCCACAGCCACTTTCTTAAGGCAAGAGATGAAAGTG